CCCAAGTGTTGTGTCCAAAAATGGCTTCTCCCATCCACTAGCCCAACCATTCTCACCGTTCCACCAGATGGCTTCACTCTTGGAGGTATGAAAGATTTTCCTACGGTCTTCTTGAAACACCAAGGCTCATATGGTTATCAACCAAAACTTTACCAGTTAAATCTGAACAGGAAGCAGGGGGGACCCAGAGGGGAGCCAGAGAAAGGGAGGGACCCTGGAAAGAGGTTGATCTCTCCCCTTAGTACGGAGCTAATAGCCCAGTGGCGTGGAGGCAAGGGTACTTACTAGCTACAGAGATCAAATCCAACCTCTGCCACTCACCACCGAGGCGATCTTGAACCGATTGCTCAATATCTCTGAGCCTCAATTTCCTCACCTATAAAATTAGCCTTATTACGTCTACCTCAGATGCTATTACGAAGGCTAAATGAGATCTTGCTGGTCAACTCCCAAAACAAGCGTTCAATACATTTCATTCCCTCCTGCTAACCAACCCCTCCGCCCAGGGAGCAATAAATTATTTTCATCTACCAAATTTGAAAGGAAAGTGTTTTACCTCACAGTCCCAAATTAAAGGAACAGGAAGTGCTTTAATCAGAAACCACATATGCTTGCTTTGATGAGCGGCTTCACCAAAACCAGAGGGGGCACATGCTCTCTGGGCCTGTGAAAGATTACATAACTCTGAAACCGCCAGTCAGCAGAGGGCTGAATTCCCCTCTTAGACATATTCATGTGTCCTCCTCTCACAGAAAGAGTGGAAATTCAAGTTAGTGAAAAGCAAACTAAACCACCAAAATATCTTAGTTCACAAGAAATCGCAGTACAATGCCTATGCGTAAAATTCACAGTAACTCTGAGGCAACTTCAAAAATTGATTTAAGAGATCCAAGAGTCTCAGAATTTAAAAAAAAAAAAAAAAATCCCCCTACCGATTTTGCCTCCATCAGCCAAGGCCAAAGTAACGTCTACCTCCCACTTGGGTATCCGCGCCTTTCTCACCGCCAGGCTGCCTCTCTCACCCTCGGGTAGTGCATCAAATGTGAAGTTCAGCCTCCAGGTCTTCCTGTTAACCTGGGGGGGGGGGGTCAAGAAGCCATCAGATCAGTCTGGTATAAGCCAAAGGGAAATGGTTTTCTCAGGAGCCATTCATTGTAGGTCAATCAGAAAATCTTCCCCCTCATTAGTGCTCTCCAGGGCTCCCTAACTTCACAGCTTCTTTTGTTTTCTGAGAGCAGGACTTCCTTCAGGCCAAAGTAGAATGAGAAAGGTTTGCCTCCTTTCCTCAGGAAGGAAAAGTCTTCGTCTGGGCAACTAAATTATGCTGACCCTGGTGGCCACCTCCATGCGGTGGGGGGGGGGGGGAAGGGACACTGATTTCTTATGCTCCTCATCCCAGACTGACACTCCTGTGGTCCCAGGGCTCTTCCCCTGTACCCTGCCCCACTGTGACTTGAGCGTAGGCCAACTGGAGACCGTACGTTGTATTCTGACTCCAAATAAAAAGACTTCAGGATGATGTTCACGTGTGGATGATCAGAGACTATGGAGGGCAGTGGCTAAACCTTGCGGGTGTTTGGGGGGTGGTGGGGGTGACTGGGTGACGGGCACTGAGCGGGGCACTTGATGGGACGAGCACTGGGTGTCATGCTCTATGTTGGCACACTGAACTCCAAGAAAAAAAAAATCAGTCTTAAAGAAAACCTTGCAAATGTGTCTCTCCTTTTACTGCCTAAACCACCTACTGTCTAAGGAAAACATCTCTCCCCTACCCAGACACTGTGCTGTCTGAAGATCAGATGGCAGATTTCAAGTGGGGAAATCCACAGGCACCAAGTGCTCAAAGTGCCCTACGTAGGGAATGTCATCCTCTTTGGGACACACCCACCCCTTGACAGCCGGTTACAAATCCCCGTGGAGAGGGGGTCTGTCGCGTGCACCCCACCTACGAGGCACCAAGCTCCTCCAAATACTTGATGCAGATTGCCATGGATCTGGGGGTCCGGCCGAGTCACCACACCCTAGGGCTTCCCGCGCCCGGGACCTCGCCTCGCAGCGCTCGCCTCTAACTTCGCAGGGGCGCGGCAGGGCTCGCAGAGGGCGTTACAGCAGCGCGGAAGGCGCGCGCGCCGCGGGCGGCGGGGTCCGGGGTGTCAGCGCAGCCCGGCCCCCCAGCACCTCGGGCCCCGACCCTTCGCGGCCAGCACGAGCCTAACTCCCCCAGACTGGCTCTCCCCCAAGCCACCCACCCCCGCTCCCGCAGCACTGCCCCAAACAGGTCTGGCGACCCACGTAGCAGGAAGGGGTCTCAGAGGAAAGAATCCCGGGGGGGGGGGGCTGGGGGCGAGCAAGTAACGAAAATATACCTGTGAGTGCGCGGAGCACGCCGCGGCCACTCGGTCGTTTCCAGCGGTCCCGGCGCTGCTCGGGGCCCGCGGCCCGCAGCCCTGCGCCAGCCCCGCGTCCGGCCTCGAGGCGGAGGAGGCCGCGCCTCGGCCCTTTATAGCGCGGCGCGCGGGTGGGCACCGGGGCCCGGGCCGGGGGCGGCGGGGCGGGGGGGGGCGGGGGTGCAGGGAGAAGGGCGGAGGGAGGGGGGAGGGGGGAGGGGAGGGGGCGGGGCGGGGCGGGGCGGGGGGCGCGGGCCGGGCGGCCGGCCCCAGGTCTGTGGATTTTTCTCTGCTCGCTGGAAATTCCCGAGCCCGAAAGGTAGCGAGCCGAGTCCCGGACATCCCCCTGGGGGGCGGGGGGCGGCTCCAAGACCCGGCCTGGAATTCCGCCGAGGACCGGAACTCGCCCCTTGTGGATGCCCCTGCGCGAATCCCAAGGAATCCACCCCGGGCGTTAGCGCCGCCCCCTGCTCCCTGGATTCACCTCCTCTGCTAATTGAGCTTTTTCTGCAGGGGCGGGGGCGGGGGGGGGGGCTTCCAGAAGGGAGGAGGTGCGGGGTGGGGGGCAGACACCTCGGGCAGCACAGCTTTTCTGAACGAGCGGCCCTCGCTAAGTAGCGTCGCTGCCGTGGCAGATAACGGGCCACCCATCGAGATGTCAAGGAAGCTGGGGTGCTTCGCGGTTCCGGGGGGCAGGAGGTACAGCCGGGTCAGTTGAAAGAGTCAACTATTGCACAACATTTAAAGGATTTTGCCTGTGACATTTGGTTTCACTGTGACTCCTTTTCCTTTCGGGACACTTGTAATCCCGGTCCTGCTTCCTGCCCCGCCCCCCCCCCCCCCCCCGGACCCCGGGTGCCACAATCCAGCTTGATGATGAGATCGGAATTGTCTGATCCTCCAATAGCACCAGGCATCTAGAGCCCAACACCAGAACGTCCTTAAACCTTTAACAGTATAACAGTAGGATCTTCGTCCTGACTTCCCCTCGTTGGCTGGAGACTATTATTAAAGCAAAATATGAGGGCGCCTGGGCGGCTGGGGTGGAGATCCTGGTGAGTGTGGGGAGATGGGCCCTGCCTGGGGCTCCCTGCAAGGTGCGGGAATGCTTGACAGATCCTCTCCCTCCCCTTCCTTTCCCTCCACTCCCACGTGGCATGCCCACCTGCTCGCTCACTCTCTCTCTCACAAACGAATGGAAAAGATCTTTTAAAAGAAGTGAGATATACTCAAATTCACACTTTTCACAAAAGTTAAGATGTAAATGCACTTAAGAGACCGGTTAGGGATCCCTGGGTGGCGCAGCGGTTTGGCGCCTGCCTTTGGCCCAGGGCGCGATCCTGGAGACCCGGGATCGAATCCCACGTCAGACTCCCGGTGCATGGAGCCTGCTTCTCCCTCTGCCTGTGTCTCTCCCTCTCTCTCTCTCTGTGACTATCATAAATAAATAAAAATTAAAAAAAAAAAGAGACCGGTTAGAAGGTATGTGGTGGAGTGTGTGCACTGTGGCCTTCTGCCTTCTATATCTATCAACTTCTGCCTTCAGCCACCCTCTTCTCTTCCACCACTCCCCAGGCTCCCAATTTCCTAGGTGCTCCCAGTACTCAGGAACAGTGGTCTCACTCTCAGAGAGAAAAAGAAGACCTTCGGAATCCTTTTTTATTGCACACTGGGCAGTCATGCATTCTAAGGGCACTGAGACCACACTGCAGACATAAAGCCTGAAGAGAATAATGCTTACTACAAGAGAATGGATACACTTAAAGTGGAATTTTCTAGCATAAGCAACTAGCTAATGCTAATAAACTGAATTTACCCCAAAGATAATGCTGAGCATCCTTGGGGGTGGGAGTGTTAATGTCCCCATACCACTCTCAGTAACTATTTCCTTTAATAGGCAGGGCCCAGAAGAACACCCACCTCTGGCATGTATTATGGGTATGTAACCGTTTGCTATATATATTCTTGTTACACCCCCAGTGTATCAATCTGAAACTCAATACCTGAAGCCAGGAAGTGTCAGTCAATTGGTATTTAATAAAATGATGGTGCTGAGTGAAATAAGTCAATCAGAGAAGGACAAACATTATATGGTCTCATTCATTTGGGGAATATAAAAATTAGTGAAAGGGAATAAAGGGAAAGGAGAGAAAATGAGTGAAAGTATCAGTGAGGGTGACAAAACATGAGAGACACCTAACTCTGGGAAATGAACAAGGGGTAGTGGAAGGGGAAGTTGGTGGGGGGTTGGGTGACTGGGTGATGGACACTGAGGTGGGCACTTGGTGGGATGAGTACTGGGTGTTATGCTATATGTTGGCAAATTGAACTCCAATAAAAATTTTTTTGAATAAATAAATAAAATGATGGTTGTTCAGAATGGTAAAGCGGATCATATTGAAACACCAAAGGTCTGTTTTATATGGCTAATGAAAGGTTACCCTTAATAACACTTTCAGAAAACATAATTTGCATAGAAGGGCCTTATTATGGATTCTCCCTTTCATAAGTAGCATCAAGTCAATCATTAGAGCTCTAGAATATGAGGAGATCCACTAAGTGAAAGTAATGCTGTCATTCCCAAATAAAAATCCATGGTTTAACCCAATGAAATTGTGTATAAACCACTGTTTCAATATTTTATTATAAACCTAAATGTCCAACTGTAATGACCAACTTAGTTAAGTAATAATAATAGCATTAACTGAACTGCTAGTGGGCAGACTTTTCTAATTCAGTTATGAAGACTAACTTGAAAAATGTATGTTAAATAAAGAACCACAGAACAAATTATATATTATCTGTGATTATAGCTATTTAGTTTTTTAAAAATCCTGGAAGAAAACATATCAAGATGCTAATGCTTACCACATTCAGATGATAGAATTATGGATTCTATCCATAGATTTTCTTTGTCTAGATTTTACAGTTTTTAAGAATAATGATGCCCTTGGGCACCTGAGTGGCTCAGTGGATTAAGTATCTGCCTTCAGCTCATGTCATGAGGGAGTCTAACCCCAGGCTCCAAGCTCAGTAGGGACTCTGTTTCTCTCTCCCTCTGTCCCTCCCTCTGCTTGTGCTTTCTCTCTCTCGCTCTCTCTCAAATTAAAAAAAAAAAAAATCTTAAAAAATAATAATAATGCCCTTTATATTTATAATGGAAAATATATACAACAAAGTATATTATTTGGCTGGCATGCTAATATTCAAAACTATGTGATACTGGCCTAACATAACCTTTTCAGAAGAAATTAAAACACTGTATCTTATTGTTCTGAGAAAGATTTAGGTAATATTCCAAATTCTACACTTAAAGGCATTTTGGGGGGATGCCTGGGTGACTCAGCTGGTTAAACATGGGACTCTTGATTTCCACTCAAGTCATGATCTCACGGTTGTGAGATCAAGCCCTGTGATGGACTCCACACTCAGCACAGTCTGCTTGAGATTCTTTCTCCTTCTCCCCTATTCACGCTCTCTAAATAAATCTTTAAAAAAAATAATAATGGCATTTTTTTTTAAACTTCCACACCAGAGAATAGAAAGACAAGTTAGAGGGATGCCTAGGTGGCAGAGTCAGTTAAAGCATCTTACACTCCTTTTTTCTTTTAAGATATGTTTATTAAGTTCAGAGAGAGAGTGCACGAGTGGGGAGATGGGCAGAGGGAGAGGACAGAGAATCTCAAGCAGACTCCTCTCTGAGTGTGGAACTTGAGGCTGGGCTCTATCCCACAAAGAGTCAGACAGTTAAGCAACTGAGACACCTAAGCACTGCATAAGTATCTGACTTTTGATTTTGGCTCAGGTCATGATCTCAGGGTCATGAGATTGAGCCCCACATCACGGTCTGCACTTGGCATGGAGCCTGGTTAAGAGTCTCTCTTCCTTTCTCTGCTCCTCCCCCGATTCGCACGCTTCTCTCTCTCAGAAAGAAGAGAAAGAAAGAAAGAAAGAAAGAAAGAAAGAAAGAAAGAAAGAAAGAAAGACGAGCAAATTAGAAAAGGAACAAAGTGAAATAGAATACTTCAAGAAACTATGTCATCAAATCTTTAGGGCCTTATGTAACTGCATCAAAAAGTAACAGCAACTGGATAAGATCACAAAAAATCATCTGTACAAACAAGAAGCATCAGTCCAAAGCCCTGGAAAGGTAGTGGAAACTGAAATTCTCCTGAGAAGATGATGCCCCAGCCTCCTCTAGCAATCTTTGAGAAAATGCTCAGAAAGTCCTTTCATGAAAAAGAAAATCTCTCTTCACAAAAGTCTAACAAGTTGTAGTTATAAAGGGCTATGTACTCTCACATACCTTGGTTCAAATTCAAACTCGATTTCCTCATCTATAAAATGTAGCTAGCTAATATTACCTACATTAGGTCGTGATCAGAATTAAATATTAGGGATTAAGCTCCAGAAATAAAAGACAAGCATTATTATTTTCTTAGTTCTATCTTCCTTCTTCCCTTAGTTGTATTTCTCAAAGTATAGAACACTACCATTGCATCAGAATCACTGGACACTTGTAATGAAGGTTGATTCCACAATTCGTGGAGGCATGACCCCTAATTCTGTATTTTTATCAAGTATTCTAGGTGATTCTCAGACACTAAAGCTTAAAGACCATTAAAATGAGGCTATCTTAATATTTTAACTACTTGTTCCTCTTTAGACTCAGAAAATAATAAGAAATCTTGTACCCCTTATATGTATTTTATACATCTGAAGATGGCCCAAAGCTAAGAAAGGAAGATCTTACACTCTCCGTTCTAAGTTAAAACTCCAAATTCTTTGGCCCACTCTCCTAAGACTGTATGTTTTCATGCTCTAAGTATCCCATCTTCATCTCTAAAACCTTCCCAGTCTCTTTATTTGTCCATTTAGGGGAAACTAAAACTAGACTGTTAACCTTGTGGCTAAAAAAGAGAAGAGTACTTATACTTCTAAATGGCCCCAAGTTAACCTAAACTCATTTAAAATTAGTAAGGTAAAGATAGTCAAGTAAAATTGATCATTCAATTATTTTAAGATAGCCAGTAGGAATAGTTTTTTATTTCCAAGCATGAAAGAATGCGTGTACCTTAATAAATACCTGTTCTAGATCTCAATATATAACTTTAATTTCTAATTAGATTTAGATTTCAATTTCTAATGTTGGTATGCAATTCAAAATAACAACCAAAAAAAGAAACACTTGAAATTGATGTACGTAAACATCAGTATTGTTTACATAACAGTCAGTTCTTAAAACCCTCAAACTTCAAAACACAAAAATAAATTTCCATTTATAGATTCCCCCTTCCAGCTCCAAAAGTGGTTATTCTAAAGTATTCATCATGTAAAATGTAGGTGAAATAAGTAACAATCACCCAGGGCAGGTATCAATTCAACACACAGATTTTGTGTACTGCTTTCATATTTTCCTTTTGCTTCTCTTCTAGATAAAAGCAGGATGTCGTAAATATATTCTCACAAGAAAATTCTAATCAAGGATACTGGCCTTTTTGAGCACTTCAGAAAAGGTGAATCATCAAGAGAAACTCCTGAGACACAGCAATTTTCAGCGTGCTACAGGAGCCACCAACCATAAGCCTCAGGAGTTCATCCCACTCAAGATGGACCAACTGTGCTATTCATACAGATAAGCTCAATCTCCTTGACCAGATAAGCTGCAAACACTCCACTACCCACCATTTAGTTCAGAACATTTTTCACATGTTTTAGCATAGTAATCTCCCCTCTCAGGAGAGGCTAATTCAAACCCACTCATTAGCATCTTTGGTTACCAGGGCAATACAGTGAGTAGATGTTGTTCATAATGGTTCTCCCATGGCTATGTAAAGATTGGAAGAAATCCTATAGGTAGATATAAGTGCAACCTGCATTTTCCAAGCTCCTTGTAAGTCTTACATAAAGTCCAGTTCTTTTTGAAATTTTGTACATGTCCATAGCAGCCATCTCTCCATGGGACCAGCCATTAACTTCCTGTAATGCAGGTCATGTGATTCCTCCAGTCCCCCTCCAGGGCAGGCTAGGTCTCCAAGGGGCACACAAAGGACAAGAACATGTCCAGCTGGTTCTTCACAATAACTTCATCTGGATGTAGCTTGTGGGGTAAATAATGAGCCAAGGTCATCTCCCAGGCATCAACAAGATACACTCCAACCCCTGAGAACATCTTCCGAAGGATAGTGTCCAGCTGAAAGTTGTACCAGTCACTGTTGAAAAGGCTCACCTCAGGCCCCAGCTCTTGGGCATTAGCTGTTCGGATGACTACCACGGTCTTAGGGCTTCGATCCAGGAGCTGGACCACTGCTCGACGGATATTCCTAAGCCGCCGGATATACACTTCCAAGGGGAAGGTGCTGAAATGAGACCATATAGCTATGGCAACCACCGTGTTCTTCCCTCCCACGATGCCATTCAGCTCATTTGCCACATAACGGAGCTCACTGCTAAAGACAGTTGTAAAACGGATGGGTGGACCATGGCAGCGATACTTGAGCAGGATGTTGTGCTTCTGGTCCACCGCAAGGAAAGGACCCACATTCTTGGGACTACCCAAGTTAAACTCCACTAAATCTGAAACAAGGAAAACGCAAATGCATAAAAATGTTCAAACCAAACACATATATTATGATCATTCTTAGTAGCTTAAAAGAACTTTTTTTAAAAATAAAAGTATAACAAAAAGGTACAAGTATAGAAAGGAAATACCTATTTCACTGGCCTCAATGGAACTTTATTCTAACATATTATTTAAACCATCAATGATAGATTCTATACCTATGTCCATATACCTCAGAAGTAAAATAACCTGTTGACCTCTACCATTAGGCCAAGAAATCTTCCTGTTTGCACGGACTGCTGAATATTTAAAAAAAAAAAAAATTCAATGTGGCATTTACACACGATTGTTCTAATAGGCAAATACTATTTCTTCCAAGACCAGGGCTATAACGTCTGCTTTTTTAAGAACACGTAATAGTAACCAAATACTTCTTTTTGCAATACATGAAAGAGCAACCCTGTATCTTTTGACTTTTGATTTCACCCTAGGGATGGAAAATCATATTAATATTTTAGAGAATGCCGCTCTGTCACAAGAATAACAAAGCGGCACAAGTTAGAACTCCCTTCTTCCTCCTCATTATCTAGTTGGTGTTTCAAAGTCTAGTCCCCCTGAGATCTTCTGAAGGTCCCAGGAATCAGTGATTATTTCTCTTCTGTTAACCTCTAAAAAAACTCGTATCTATACAATTCATCACTTAACATATGCCCCATAAGAAAAGAGGGCCTGTCTCATATCCTTAAAAGTTCCTACAAGTGCTTTACAGAGCAGAGACTAAATAACTTCTGGCAACCCAAGTCAATTAACACTTCCTAAGCACCTATTCAGCACCAGCCATGTATTGCCATGAGCCAACAATGCTCAGACTGGTAAGTCACAGTCCTTGCTCTCAAGAGGTTTCCAGTCCATTCTGAAGAAGTCACATCACACTATAATTGGCCTACAGTCTTCTTAAGGGTTAAAGTTTCACTCTTCTCTCCATGCAGTCCCAGGTTCCTCTTCTAGATTTTCCCACCTAATTCATAACTATTCAGCATTTGGCCCCACTTAAACTGAATAAACTCAAGTTATCATTTTTTTCTTTTGATTAAGATCAAGCACTGACACAAGGCTTTATCAGGTGAAAATCTGTCTGGAAAGGATACGGTGGAAAGCAATTAAGACACTCAATATGATCACCGCTGTGAAAGGAAATAATGAGCCACATCATTAGAACTTAAGAAACAAACAACTACAGACTCATGGAGGGCCCTGCCTTGTCAGCACCAAACATCAAAACATGTTTAGCATTAGGCCATACAAATTATGTCTCTTTTGCTAGTTCTTAACTTATGCTTTATCAACTACACTCAGCTATGTCTGTTTCAGAAAATCAAGCAAAACAGAAGGAGGAATTAACTTTCTACTTTTGGGGATCATATCTATTTCTTCCTTTCCTTCTAAACATTAAATCTGAAACTACATTGGTGTAAAAAAATAAAAGAGGAAAAGAAAAACAACTCACAATAAACTATGGGAATGTGCTTTATGGAAAGTCCTGCCCATACACAGCCCTCAAAAATAGTTCCCACAGAATTATTTTTCAGCTCTCTACACTATAAGCTGGGTCTTTAGGAAGGTTACTGAGATTCATCCCTCCTCACCTGGTCCATACATCTTCCACGAAGAGGAAAAGGCCTTGAATAAAGGATGGCCCTCCAGTGAGTGGGGCTTTATTCCAAGTCCGGATAGCACCCCCAGAGCTCAGGAGTGAAATCAGGAAGCTAAGAATGCTGGGACTTACCAAAACTCCCTCCATAGGAGCCAGCTCATCTCAGAATCATACCAATGGAATGACCAACAGATGACACTGGGAAGGCTTTGGTGAATAGATGAATTAAAATGGACCACAGTTTGGCTGCTTCCTTCCAGTTAAATCTATTACAAACTTGGAGTCTGACCAAACAGAACTAGGAGAGAATTGATTTCCAATATGTCCACCTCTATTTTAGAGCCCAGATAGCAGAAGTAAAAGACTGCTGTAAGGTGATACTGTCCAGCTGCCTCATTGCAAACATGGAGAAATGAAGACCCAAGAAGTAAATAATGTGTCCAAGATTGCATAGCTAATCAGTGGTAGGAAACTTCAACAAGAACCCAGCACTTCCATCCAATACATCAACCCCACCGTGGATCGGAAACCATCACACATCTCTCCAGGGTTAGGATACCTCTTTAGTCCCACAGAGATATAACTACTTATATCTGATAAGTAGTTCACCTGATGCCCTGATGCCCTTCTTCAGGAACTGGAGTGAAGAAAGCTGATTTTGTGCATGTGGAAAAGAGTTATAAAATAAAATGCAAAGTACCAACCTGGAACAAAGGCAGTAAGGTATTCAAACCACTGCCTGATTGTTGAGTCACCAAATAAATACACCACTTTTCTTTGTAAGCATTCTGTAATGTTGTCAGGGTCATTGAACTGGCGCATCTTAAACTTTCTGGGCCTCCATTGATCTTTATAATAATACCCAGAAGGAAAAATTCCTGAGCCTTGAGATAGTTCTGAATTCTTCGTTTCTGAAAAGAAAGGGGAAAAAGTAAGATATCCTGAAAGTGTCCTCCAACAAACCATAAATGGAAAATGCTCCACGAAACAAAATTATGCCCCTATACTTATTAGTTTGCTGGTATATGGGTCACATTTCCTTACATCACACTTCAAAGAAATCCCAATTTTTCCCCTTGCTATAAATGGTTCTCCTTTGCACAAAAATAGGAAGATCTGAAACGTGTGTGAGGGTACTGGTGGACAGAGGGGGAAAAGAGGACTTTGAGCATTCTCCTCTGATTATACGTGTTTTTCTATCAAAGCCAAAAATAAAAGCAAGCAAATACCATGGAAATGTGTAGATAAAAGAATTGTCCAGTTTTATCCCAGAGTAAGTTTTCATACAAAGGCTTATGAGGTAAGTAATATCTTAGTTCATATTTTACATATGTATAATAAAATCAGTCCACTGCCGCTCAGCCTATTAAAAGGGAAGTTTTAACCTACAGGTCCTGATAATCAAATATGAATTCAGAAGACCACCGCTTAACACAGAGAACAAACCAAATATACCCACTCTCAAGAATTATTCCCCACAATGCAAAAGATTTAGAAGGTCTTTCTGCACAATGTACAGGATTTAAAATGCAGCAGCAGTGTGTACTCATGGTTGTAGCTAGGCTACAACCATGAGTACACAAGCACCAGGACACGTTTCAGAGGGAGAGTCAACATCCTTCTGCCCTAACACCTCCCTTGGAAAATGCTTCTGTAGAAACAACACACTTTACATGCTTCAAAATAAACAGACAGGGATGACTAATATTTCTTGTGAGTTTACTTTGCAATTAAACGTATTATCTCATTTGATGCTCATGATAACCCTTTAAGGTAGATCCTATTGTTACCTCTACCTTTCAGAACAGTTAAGCAACTTGACCTAGACCCAGAGCTAGTAAGTAGCAAAGCCAAGACCTGACCTAAGCAGGTGATCCCCAAAGCCCATGCCCTAACCACTGTGCTACATCACCTCTCAAAAACACATGGTTGTAAATGTAGATTTTCTTTTCGGCTTTTTTCCTGAAGGGGTACACTTACTCATTTCCAACACTTATTCAAATCTACATTCTTCAAAAACCACCAATTATTTTACATCACTCCTTATATGCCCCAAGGGTCAAACTTTTTTTTTTAATAAATTAATTTTTATTGGTGTTCAATTTACCAACATACAGAATAACACCCAGTGCTCATCCCGTCAAGTGTCCCCCTCAGTGCCCGTCACCCATTCACCCCCACCCCCAGCCCTCCTCCCCTTCCATCACCCCCAAGGGTCAAACTTTGATCATAATCCAGTAATTCTATAGTCTCCTCGGTTAATCCACAATTCGAAATCCAAATGTTTACATGACTCAGCAATTTAAGAGTCCTGTATTTGTGACTATTTTCAGCTTATCATCTTGATATTATTCATATTAACTCAAAATTACTTTGATTTTATTCTCTACAAAGAAGATGCTCTATTTGACAGTGCATGTTTCATTTCTTAACTTAGCCATCTGCTAATTCTTTGAGGGCTCAGGGCCTAAGTAGAAAAGTAAATAGCATTTTTTAAAAACTTTACTTGGAAAAGAGAAAGAAAACTAACAACTTTACTTGGAAAACGTGATTATCAAAGAAAAAATTAGGGTGGAGGGGTAAATATTTATCTGGCCTATTCAAAAACAATTTCTCCACATGTTACCAAGTGTGGCTTTACTATGTTGCCACATCTTACCCAAAGCTCCCTCATTACATCAGCATCTCAAGGTTACACAGGCTGCGAGCTCTAGAGCAGATACCTGGGACCCAAAGAAAACATTTACTAGATTGGGAATTAAAAGTGATTTTGAAGTTACAGTTTTTACCATGGTTAATTCAGAAGACTTGACTATTCTGTGTCAAATACATGTTATAAAGAAAAGTATGTATCACACAGGAAACAATTACCACTTCTATTCAAATGTTAATTATATTTACCACCAGAGTTAAGTCAAGCAAAGCAAATCAATTACTGAACCTGACATTAATTCTGTACACGTGCAGCACTAGATAAGAGTAGTTTTAAAGTGAAATGCATGTACCTACATTGCCCTCTTATGGTCAGCTAAGACAAACACATTTCCTATTTTAATAAGACTAATAATAAGCAGGCTGAGGTTGTTTCAAAAGTCAGCATTTCTTTTAATTCCCAATCTAGTAAATGCATTTTACGGAGGAAAACTAAATACTGGTATAGGTAGAAATACCTATAGATTCAAAGATTGTTGAAATGGACCTCAGGCAATGGCTAGTCCAAATCTCTTTTTCAAAAGGTGAAGACTGTCACAGAGTGACTTGCCGACGTTTCTCAGAGAGTTGTAGAGAGACACTTAGTGGTAAAGGGAGTACTGTTTACAAAGGCATACATCATTTCATTACTGGTAAGAGATCTGGGAGTGGGCTTCGTACCCCCAAATGATATCAGTTAGTTGGACTTTATATGTAGGATATGAGCCCTTTGATTTTCTAAGTTAACCAAGTAAAATGTATTATGTACTCCGTATTTTTTCCAACAACGGGAAAGTAGTTGTCTTTAAAACAGCTTTGTCTAATTTGTTATGCTATTACATCAACATCAGAACGACGTCTCATCCAAAAAGGCACTACTAGTTTGGTTTTCACCAAGCAGCATCAAACACTATTTTATCATTCACGCCATCGTTTGGATGCACTAAGTAGTAGAGAGTTGATAAATGTCACTATTGCAGACAAACTTAAACATCAAGGTGTCTTTCACACCTCCCAAGCATGTAAAGAGGTAGCATAAAATGGGGTGAACTTGAGTGAGAGGCTCTGGTTAATATCTGACTCCACCTCTCCAACATGAAACCTCAGGAATCACTTAAACTCATATCTTAATCATCCCCTGCATTCTCAGAGTTTGGTCTAGCATCAGGCACAGAGCAGATCAAAACGAGGACTGAGTCTCTGGAACTTGGTTTCATTATCTACAAAACAGGTAAATGACTAGTTATTTTGAAGGTTTGTTGTGAAAGTTCAATGCTAGAGTAGTATTAATAGTTTTTAATATAAACGGCAACACTGGAATGCTAGAAATATTCTATATGTTCTAAACATTCTATATCTTTATGTGGGTGGTAGTTACACTTTATTAGTTTTCCGTTGCTGTGTGACCACTGACCACAAACTTAGTAGTTTAAAAACAAGGGACATTTATTATCACAGAGCTCCGTCTGTCAAGAGTCCAGGGCATGGCACAGCAAGGTTCTCTGCTCAGAGTCTCACAGGTTGAAATCAGGTTGTCAGCAGGGCTGTATTCCTTTCTGAAGACAAGGAAAGTCTGCTTCCAAGCTTATTCAAGTGGTTGGCCAAATTCACTTCCTTGTGGTTATAAGATCATGTTTGCTTGGTGGGTGGTTGTTTGTTTTTGTTGTTTTTTGGTCTATAAACAACACAGATTTATTTCCTACATTCTAGAGGCTGGAAGGCTGAGATCAAGATGCCAAAATTATAAGACATTCAAATCAAGACATGTCAAGTGAAGACATCAAGCATGGCTGTGTTCTGATGAGAGTTCTCTTCCTGTTCAGAATGGCACCTTCTTGTTTGGTAGAAGGACAAGGGATTTTTCTGGAAGTTCTTTTATAAGGATACTAATCACACCCATGAGAGCACCAACCACAAGACCTAACTAATCACCTCCCAAAAGCTCTACTTCCTTTTATTTTTTTTAAAAGTTTATTTATTTGAGAGAGAGAGAGAAAGTGAGTGAGAGAGAAAGAAAGCACAAGTTGGCGGAGAGGGACAGAGGGAGAAGCAGACTCCTTCCTCGATGTGGGGTTCCGGTCCCAGGAGGATTGTTAGCCTTCAGTTCCTAGAACCTGTCTATATTTTTTTGCCAAATGGCTTCCTCCACCTTTAAAGCCAGCAACAAAGAATCTCCTTTACTTGGAAGCCTTCACATGCTTTGAAGCTCTTCAAGAAGAACCTGGTCCCTGTTGAGGGCTTATCCAATTAGGTCAGGTCTACCCAGGATAGTATCTTTTTTAAACATCAACTTTGTTACATAATCAAAACATGGGAGTGATCCCATCATATCTTAGGTCCTTCTCACACTCAAGAGGGAAAACAAATTATATAAGGGCATGGGTCACTGGGAGTCATCTTAGAATTCAACTACCACAGCTACAAAGACAGAAATGTAAATTCCATTGTACTATACATTTACAATCCATGTGTTCTATTGTGTATAAGATATACCTCAAAAAGTAAAGAATATAGCAAAGGGCTACAAAGATGTTACTGTTTATTCTACTTGCTATTAAATCTAGTTTCATCCCAGACTCTCAGTAAGCTCGCCCAAAAATATGAGCTCTAGTTTAGTTGTTGACGAGGTCAGAACCCATCAAGGCTTTGTTAGGCTATGATGGTCTAGGGACCACAGTTACATGTACTAAGAAAAAGTCAACAGCAATTCTGACACTGAGAAAGCCTATCAGAAACCAGATGCTTGTCCCGATGATTCTTTGCTTCCAACTGCAATTATACCCATGCGCGGGGATTCAAACAATTCAGCAGATTAAACATGCATCTTAGAATAATTTTAACTTATAGGAAAATCAGTTAAAACTAACACAAAAAAAAAAAAGAGAGAAGGGGGAGGAAACCCTTCAAAATAAAAGATTCATAAGCAAAATAACACAAGTCGAAAGAACCTTTCAAGGCCAGGGCAAAGAAAACATAAGATGGGCCTGAAACATCTTTTGGTGCCAGAAAAGTAAGGAAATGCTTATGGGGCGGGGGGGGGAAATGACAGGATGTCAAAGGGTATAGGAGCCAAACTGAAAAAGTTCCCAATTGCCAAAACTGGAGCAATTAGAGCAACAAAATAAATAACAATTGAATTAGGTAATAACTGAAATGATCACGAGTCTGTAGTGACATAAACAAATGGGAAAGAAGGGACAACACTTTCTTACAGAAAAATTCCAATTAATAAGTGTGTTAGGAATGAGTGATTAAAAAATCAGAATTACAAGACGCCTGGGTGGCTCAGTGATTCAGCATCTGCCTTGGCTCAGGGCATGATCCCAGGATCGAGGATCGTGTCCCACATCAGGCTCCCCATGCACAGCCTGCTTCTCCCTCTGCCTGTGTCTCTGCCTCTCTCTCTGTGTGTCTCTCATGAAAATGAAAGGAAGGAAGGAAGGAAGGAAGGAAGGAAGGAAGGAAGGAAGGAAGGAAGGAAGGAGAAAGAAAGAGAAAGAAGAAAGAAAGAGAAAGAAAGAAAAGAAAGAGAGAGAGAGAGAGAGAAAGAAAGAAAGAAAGAATCAATCAGAATTACATACCAGAGAAATAATTGCTGCTGGCAAAATCTCCTAATGAATGCAAAGATTAGTGGGTGAAAGTATAAGCAGGAACAGGATATTTGCATCCTGATGTAAGACAGAGACATCCGGAGAGTAGCTTCCTGTGGCTACTGTAACAAATTGCCACATATCGGGTGGCTTAAAACAACACAAATTTATTCTCTTAACCATTTTGGAAGCCAGAAGTCCAAATTTAGTATCACTGGGTCAAAACCTAGGTATCAGCAAGGCCATGCTCTCTCTGGAGGAGCTAGGGAACAATGTCTCCTTGCCTCTCCTAGAGCAGTATTCTCTGGCTCATGGTCCCTCTCTCCATCTGTTAAGCCAGGGGCATGACATCTTCAAGTCTCTCTCTGCTTCCACTGTGACACTGCCTTCTGCTTCTATATGAAATCTCCTTCTGCCTCCCTCTTAAGAGGACACTAGTGGTTGTGTTTAGGGCCCACTCAGTATATCCAGATAATCTCTCCCCATCTCTAGAACTATTAATTTAACATACATGCAAAGTTTCCTCTGCCATCCATACACAGCAACATTCATAATTTGAGGGATTAAGATCTGGGTATCTTGGGGGGGGGTGGGCATCACTCAGCCCGCCACAGTCTCAAAGTATCTCCCCAGAATACAGAGTCCACATAAAGAGAAGAGGGTAGCCCCAGTGGCCCAGCGGTTTAGCGCCACCTTCGGCCCGGGGTGTGATCCTGGAGACCTGGGATCGAGTCCCACATCGGGCTCCGGCTCCCTGTATGGAGACTGCTTCTCCCTCTGCCTGTGTCTCTGCCTCTCTCTCTCTCTCTCTCTCTCTGTGTGTGTGTGTCTTTCATGAATAAATAAATAAAATCTTAAAAAAAAAAAACATAAAGAGAAGAGAGCCCTGATGGACACCACATGAACCAAGTGATCTAAGTTAACATCATTAACAATACTACTAACATCACGTACTCCCTTAAAAGGATACGGCATCATTTCTGTGCTATTCTTCCAAAAATGTGTAATCTCATGCTAATCATTAGAAAACATTAGACAAATCCAAAGTTAGAAACATTCTAAAAAAATCTGACCAGTGCTCTTCAAAGTGCAAAGGTCATGGAAGATAATGTCATAGAGGGAAGACTAAGGAAACACAGTGATTAAATGCAGTGTGGGATCCTACACTGGATTCTGGAACAGAGAAAGGACATTAGTGGAAAAACTGATGAAATCCAAATAAACTCTACAGTGTCGTGATGTTAAAATCATAGTTTTGAAAGTATTAGGTGGTTATGTAAGGGGAAGGGTGCAGGCTATGCAGGAACCTTGTACTATTTCTGTAACTCATATTTAGGTTTAAATTATCTGAAAACAAAAAAAGTTAAAAAGGAGGAAGAGAGGAAGACAGGGAGGGAGAGAGGGAGGGATGTAAGCCCATGGTTTAGGGTCTTTGATTCCAGCCTGCTGGTCACAAGAGTGGATTGCAGTGAAGTTCTCCTAAACTGTGTGTCTTTGATATTATGTAAGCAACTGCTCTTCTCTTTTCTTTCCAACTATATACCTGCTCTGAGACAGTCTTCTCAAACCAGGCTATTCTGCTCCTATTGATTCACGGTTCCTTTCTACCTCTAAAAATCCATCAAGGGAAGCCTGGGTGGCTCAATCAGTTAAGCATCTGACTTTGACTTGGGTAATAATCTCAAGGTCCTGGAATCAAGTCTAGCAAAAAGGCTCCTCACTCAATAGAGAGTCTGCTTGTCTCTCTCCCTCTGCCCCTCCCCATACTCATTCATTTTTTCTCTCTCTCTCAAATAAATAAAATCTTTATGATAAATAAAAAATAAAAGTCCATCAAAAGTCTCACTGGTTACTAAATCTGCCTTCTCTCTAACCAGAACAGCACATCACAAACCTACAACCACTTCTTGGCTGAACACCAAGACCTGTCATGTACAGGTCAACCATCCAAAGTTCCACCCACTGGCTATTGCACTAGACACGTAGGGACAGGGCAGGCAAGCCAGAAGGCTGGGACTGTAGCAAAGAGTAGCTGTGATATACCAGAATGGGGCCTCCTGAGGTGTCAGACATTAAAGAGTATGAGGAGTGAGGACTATGGGGGATAGATATGGAAGGTGAGACCCAGGCAAATAAAAGATTTCCATTAATGATGTTTCATATATAAATTTTTTCAAATTAGTAACTCCCTGGCTTTCAGTAAATCAAATACAGTCTTTCGCTGGGAAAAGATTGGGATTTCTTGTGGTACATGATGGTGGAGACCAGAGATATAGACTGGCAGCATCCTGGCTGCATCTGGGCCACAGACAAACGTTACTTAGCCATAACAAAATATTTTAAAGTTTTCAGCCAGATGCTGATGTTTTGAAATCTAAAGACATTACACTTAAAGATTGAAGATTAAGACTTCTGATGTTTCTCGTAGGAAAAAAAAAACCTATAGATCTGGCCACACTGTGTCTACATTTCTGCATAGCAGCAAAGCAGATGGAACTGCAGAGAAGCTGTCCTTGCTCTTTGGGTACTTCACCACTCACACAAGGCATGTATATGACTAGTACCCACCGTTACTAGATACATATATTATATACGCAGGCTCTATGGTATCTGTGTTTGCAGTATCTGTGTGGGAGACTACACATAGATGCTTTCAACAACTATAAGGACCTTGCCTGCCATCTGCATAAGCTTTCTAAATAATATTCATCCTTTCTTTCTAAAAATCACCATGGCTATTTATTTCTGTTCTGCAAAAAGAGAACACATACATTTACTCTTCTGAATTCTGTTGTCTTCCTTTTAATAATATCCTATACCAATGGATCAAAATCATGAAGAAGGTTTGTTAAAACACAAACTGCTGGGCCCTACACCCCAGAGTTTCTGATTCAGTAGCCTAAGACCTGAGAATCTGCAATTCTAGCAAGTCCCCGCCCGCTAATGCCGATGTTGCTAATGCAGACATCACGCTTTGAGAAAATGGACATTCGATAACCCAATGCTTTTGATTTCAAAAAATTCCCTGACAATTTTACACACATTTCTTGAATAACTCTAGAACACCACTATTCTCCCACAGAACCTCTGCAATAATGGATACATTCTATATAAAATGCTGTCCAACATGGCAGTCACTAGCTACACGTGGCTCTGAAAGATGTGTGACTTAACTAAATTTTAGACTTTACTTAATTTTAATCAGCTTAAATTTGAAGACTCACATGAGGCTAGTAGCCACCATATTGAACGGTATAGCACTAACAGCTCCTAAGGAGCCAACCAGAGAGGAAAGAGGGCGAAGAAGATAACTTTTACATGCATATATATAGCAGAGTCCAAGATTATGCACATGAGGTCTGATTTATATTAATCAAAAGGTTCTTTTAGTATTTTCAATTGTGCCCAGAGGTATGGCCATGGCATATTAAAAGGAGGAAAAAAGTTTTCATGACATAAGTGAAACCACAAAGCCTCAATCCATTTAGCAAGAAAAACAATAAATCATCAAAGTTCACTCCTTTTTACCTTTGATGCTCGTGGGAATCACAGTCACCCAATCAGGTCCACTGGAGTTGATTGGCATTTTGATATTGACACCACTTTAAAGGGAATAAAAAGAGTACAAGCTTAGATTAAAGAACACTTATTTTCTAATATGTATCTTCATTTGTAAATTAAAACACTGGTGTGATTTGACAGAACCTTAAGATGAAATATTCTTATAAATGTTAACACAATTAATAAACTATGTCTCATAATAAGCAGTTTATATAGACATATAAAGTAAATACAAATTAAATAGGTTTTTTTTATTTTTCACTGCTTCGCACTGAGAGTCTAAGCTCCAAAATGACAAATTCCGGTCTGAATTATTTATTCCCCTTGGGACTCAGGAAATGGCTCACACTGATGAGAATGTCCCTTCTGTTGCTAATTTTCAGGCTACAAATCGAGGCAGCATTAAGTCACATGTTGGATTCCTCAGACCTTGGCCAGAACAAAGAGAAGTCTTACTGGAGACACTCATCACCAGATACACGCTCTTGCAGTACTTTGCTCACCTCTGCTACGGCTCTATTGTGCCTCTTTCTAAAACATACACTCCTCAAAGGCACAGTTTGTGTTTCACTACCCTTTTGTCTTCAGTACTTAGCATAAGCCCTGAACTAGAGTCCACGTTGGGAAAATAACTGATGGAGAGCTGTGTGGAAAAGTGGGGGCGAGTGGAGTCCAGGGGAAAAGTACTGAAAACTTGGTATAACTATGCCAGAAACTGATCACAATAACTAACCTCCTACACTTAGACAGAAAACAAATAACATAAAATGATAACTTTCCAAATTCCTGATACAGGAACTGAGTCATATTTTGTTTCATCAAAAGACAATTCAAAAGAGAGGGGCGCCTGGGTGACTCCATCAGTTAAGTGTCCGACTCTTGACTTCAGCAAGGCATGGAGTCTGCTGATGAGTGTCTCTCTCCCTCTCCCTTTGCCCTTCCCATGCCACTCACCTTCTATTTCTCTCTCTCAAGAGAAAAAAAAATTGTCCTTCAGTAATTCCTACACTTCAAATGAAAAATGGGGGAAAAAAGAGACAAACCAAAAAACAGACTCTTACCTATACAGAACAAACAGATGGTCTCCAGAGGGGAGGTGGGTTGGGGGATGGGTGAAATAGGAAATGAGGATTTAAGAGTACATTTATCTTGGTTAGGACTGAATAATATATGGAATTGCTGAATCACAATCAATATTGTACCCCTGAAACAAATATAACACTGAATGCCACTCACACTGGAATTACAATTTTTTAAAATATAATAAAAAAAGCCCCATTGTGGGCTCCCTGCTCAGTGTGGGGTCTGCTTACGATTCTCTCTCTCCCTCTGCCCCTCCTATCCTACATGCTCACTCTCTTCCTCTCCTACTCCCTTCAATAAATAAATAAATCTTTAAAAATAACAACAATAATAATTTTGAAGCTTCTACTATGTGCCTGGCACTGACCTAGATGTCAGGGATCTAACAGTACACAAAACACACAGCATCTCCTTCTTCATGGAATGGACATTCTAGAATGTGGGGGAGAGAAACAACAAGGAGGAAGGCAGTACAGCTGACCCTTGCACAACGTGGGTATGGACTGTGCAGATCTATTTATGCGTGGATTTTTTCAATAAATACAGTACAGTACTGTAAATGTATTTTCTGTTCCTTGTGATTTTCTTTTCTCTATCTTACTTTATTATAAGAATACAGTATATAATATATATAGCATATAAAATATGTGTTAATCAGCTATAAGGGTTCTGGCCAACAGAAGGATATTAGTAGTTCATTTTGGGGGGATTCAGAAGTTAGAAGTTTCAGATGGACTCTGCGGGTGGCTGGCATCCCCCCCATGACAGTCGTTTTCAAGGCTCAACTATATCAGGAAAAAACAGATTAAGTGACATTTAAGAGAAGATACAACTTCTAAAACAACACAAATAAACTACTTTCATGAGAGAACTTTGAGGTAAGGAAAAGAAGAAAATTTCCCTTTTGTAATTTTCCTGTAAAAATGTTTTAACCCCAATTTGGTCATTGAGAAACAATAAAGCAGCAAATCCAAACTAAGGGACATCCTACAAAATGGTGACATCAAAATTCTTTTTTTAAACACTTAAAGATTCTATTTATTTATGAGAGAGACTGAGAGAGAGAGAACGTGAGCAGGGTGGAGGCAGAGGGGGAAGGAGAGGGAGAAACACTCTGCTGAGCGCAGAGCCCAAAACAGGGCTCAATCTCAGGACCCTGAGATCATGACCTGAGCCAAAATCAAGAGTCGGATGCTTAACGGATTGAGCAGCCCAGGTGCCCCCAAATTCTTAATATTGTAAAAAAAAAAAATAAGAGGAGTGATAAGTCCACTGTGGCCACCAAGTTCTCGCTGGGCTTCCTGACCCTGCTTCCGCTGCTGCTGGACTGGCCACTGGCAGCACGCAGTAGAGAGTTTGTGGGCACCACACACACTGGGTGAGAGACTGATGCTTCCTCTCTTCGCTATAATTTCTTCATGACACCCAAGCCCAGTTCTGGACAACCACAGTATGAGACTCAAGGAAATATCAATGAAGACATGTTTCTTTCCTATGCCTGGTGGTGAAAAGGTCAAACTCTTTGGTCCTCTGGGGATGAAAGTGAAGAACATAGAGTTCTTGGAGAGACAGATGGAAACTCTGAAAGACCTGCCGGAAGAGCTCAAAAACAAACTTCTTGACATAAAAGCAGAGACTTTCACTAACAGCAATTCTCTCACCAAGGAGGACAGAATGATGTGTGAGTTTGGGGCCATCAGACACACCAGTGGATCCTGGCAGTTTGGCTTCAATGGGTGGATAACCTACCTCTTTGATTCAGAGAACAGAAAGTGGACAGTGGTTCATCCTGGAGACTGATCATGAAAGGCTACTGTTGGATAGTGACAGAGATGTGACCAACTTCCTCATGAAGATCTCAAAGAGAGGTTCTAAGAGCTGGCTCAAGGCAAGTACTGGTGCACTGGGATGAAATGCCAGGGACAGTAGTACCATTAACCACGCCTCAAGGCATGGCCCAGTCCAGGGCCTCAGCCATCAGACCTGGCACCCGGGTCTTCCCCCTCTTCCTCAGCTGTGCAATCATAATTGGCATCCAGGTCAGAGTCCTTTAGGGGGACAGACTGGCGAAGCTATCAAGCAGCCCCTGAGAGTGGGGGCCAGCTCAGCAACTCTACCTTTTAGTAGGCTGCCTTTGCATGAGCTGTTTATTTTTTTAGACCACCAGAACTTTCGACCTTGCAAAGTCAGAAACATCAGTCAGGTGTTCTGTGCTACACCACACAGCGCAGCACAGGAAACATCCCATGTCCCTTCTTACATATGGTGGCTCTCCTGTTTAGCATTTTTCCTTGGCTTATTATATGCTTTTTTCTGTTGGTGCTAAGTGATGGGATTCTTGCACTGAAATGTTTAAATGCTTGATCAAGAAATCTCAACAAAGGGCAGCCCAGGTGACTTAGTGGTTTAGCACCGCCTTCAGCCCAGGGCCTGATCCTGGTGTCCCGGGATCGAGTCCCATGTCAGACTCCCTGCGTGGACCTGCCTGTGTCTCTGCCTTTCTCTGTGTGTGTGTCTCTCGTTAATGGATAAATAAATTTTTTAAAAATTAAAAAAAAAGAAATCTCAACAAAGAGAACATTTTTTATCTTCTCCTTTTGTTGTGGAATATCAGGTTCTTCTCTGTAGATGACTTTGTCCTTACAGACAATATTGCCAAAAAGATGTTTGAAGCTACAGAACCTCGGGTTTTTTCTGTGTCCTGAGAAGCAACTCACTTTTTTTTTCTTTTTTAACTTTATTGGGCTATATCTTACATATCATAAAATCAACCCATTACCTCATTGACTTTTAAACAGAATACTTTATAATGTGATTGCTTTCTTCAGTAATTTATTTCCATCTACATATATTTAAATAAACATATCTCTTATAAAAAGTTTTTAAAAAACAAGCTAGAGACCTCTTCCAAATTAAAAGAGGTTACAGAGATAACTAAACACAATGTGATCATAGATTAAAATCAACTAAAATAAATAAATAAATCTTCTAAAAAATAAAAAGAGGTGCCTGGGTGTCACAGTTAACTGAGCATCCAACTCTTGGTTCTCACTCAGGTTGTGATCCCAGGGTCGTGGGATTGAGCCCCTCCATGAGTGTGGAGTCTGCTTAAGATTCTTTCTCCCTCAGGGCAGCCCAGGTAGCTCAACGGTTTAGTGCTGCCTTCAGCCCAGGGTGGGATCCTGGAGACCCGGGATCGAGTCCCACGTTGGGCTCCCTGCATAGAGCCTGCTTCTCCCTCCGCCTGTGTCTCTGCCTCTCAAGCTCTCTCTCTCTCTTTCTTGTGAATAAATAAAATCTTAAAAAAAAAAAAAGATTCTCTCTCCCTCTCCATCTGCCTCATGTTCACCCTCTCTAAAATAAATAAATACATCTTTATAAAACTTTAAAAAAAGACAGCTCTAATGGACATTACAGGGACAACTAGAGAGAATTGTATCAAAGATAAATGTCTCAAGTGCAGTAGCTATGCTCTGGTTACATACTGAAGAGTGTCCATGTCCTAGGAGTTACATACTGCAACATCATGATGTCTGCAACTTACTCTCAAATGCCCAGGGTAAAAGAATTATACATAGGTATACACATATATAAACACACAGAGAGAAAGCGAGAGAAAAAAATGTAGCAGAACAATAACAATGGTGAATCTAAGTAAAAGACATATGGATGTTCACTTTTATTATTCTTGCGGTGTTTCTAATGATCTGAAAAGTTTTTTTAGACAGAGTTAGAAAGAAAAAAGATATTAAATTATGCTACAAATATATGGAATGGAATACTACTCAGTCATCAAAAAATGAAAACTTGCCATTGGGAAAGATGTGGATGCAAAGAGGATATTATGCTAAAAGAAACAGGTCAATCACAGAAAGATAATTATCATGCAATCTTGCTCATATATGGAATTTAGGAAACAAAACAGAAGATCATAGGGGAAGAGCGGAAAAAATAAAACAAGATTAAATCAGAGGGAGACAAACCATAAGAGATTCTTAATCATAGGAAACAAAACGAGGGTCACTGGAGGGGCAGAGGTGGGAGGATGGGGTAACTGGGTGATGGACATTAGGAGGGCATGTGATATAATGAGCACTGGGTGTTACAGAAGACTGATGAATCACTGACCTCTACTTCTAAAACCAATAATATGTTATATGTTAATTAACTGAATTTAAATTTTATTTATTTTTTTAATTTAAATATTAAATAAATAAATAAATACACATGGGAAGCTTTTCATGTGAGGAGCTTACTCTTTCAAGAGGCCTTCCTTTATATTAATAGGATCTTTTAAGCAAAGTACTGTTGTTCCTTCTAAAACCAACATTTTTTTTCCTTAGGAGTAAAGAACCAAAAATTAGATCACCTTAATTGTCCAACTGTAATTTAGGGAACCGAATACCAAGGCTAAGCCTCTTAAATCTTTCTGAATTAAGCAATGTTATGAGCCACCAAGGGAAAAAGGTAAAAATAGGTGTCAGCTTAACATATTCAGGCCATGAGCTCAAAACAATACACCAAAGTGCACCTCAAAAGGTCAATTTCAATCTTTTTCTTTCTAGTTAGGAGGCACAAAACTTCAGAATTTTAACAGAGAAAACAATACAAAAAAAAAAATCAGTATCAGGACTATCAAATGTTTGGTTTCTAAAAGTTCACCTCAAACTCTATTTTCCCAGCAAACTTCCAGGTAAGGAAAATTTCTTATGATTCTACTACAAAGTCTGTTTCTACTACAAAGTGCCATCAGCCAGCCTTATCCAGGACATACAAGTAAGGACAGGGACATACATTATTTCATCCTTCACAATTCATAGGTGTCTTCTAGTTTTTTGTTTGTTTGTTTTTTGTCTTCTAGTTTTAATGGTAGGAATTGATGTCAGGAATATTCTTAAATTTTACAAATCCTCTAGCCTTTTCCCCATTTTTTCCCACATGGAATTTCCATAAATTACAAGCCATGATGGGCAGCCCGGGTGGCTCAGCGGTTTAGTGTGGCCTTCAGCCCAGGGCCCGATCCTGGAGATCGAGTCCCACATCAGGCTCCCTGCATGGAGCCTGATCCTCCCTCTGCCCGTGTCTCTGCCTCTCTCTCTCTTTGTGTCTCTCTCGTGAATAAATAAATAAAATCTCAAAAAAAAAAATTTACAAGCCATGCTTCCTCTTTTTTGCTAAGCTACAAATGCACTGACAAGACAGCTCCAAAAGGGGAGTAACTGAGCAGTCTTCACACATTAGCAGAAAGTACACAGAACTGAAATAATTTGCTCACCGTCACTGATAAACAGCTTGTCTGAGATCAAACCCGGGATAAAATTAAAGCTGAAGTCCTGGTGTACTTACTGAGCCACACAAAAAACTAGTCTTCTGAACAGTACAGTAAACACATTGAGTAGTGCTCCCCCTGCTGGCCTTCCAACAGCATGCAGGAGTCCACCAAATGTGTGTTTAAAACTGGTAGGACCAAAAGCTGACTCCAGGAAAAATGGAAAAATCAGAGGGCTTTATTTTAGAATCTCCCGTAGACTGCAGACCTTATGATAAGTACTTCTCCCCCACTAAGGAATGAATGTATGTAAAACAAAATTTTTTAGGGTTGCCCAGATATACTTAACAAAACTACCTCTCTACCAGGGAATATTTTTTTAAGTACTTATTTCACTAAAAAAAAAAAAAAAAAAAAAAAGACAATTTTACATTCTTTCACATAACTGGACTTTGTGATAATATGGCTTTCTAACTTTTTTTTCCCCCTGAGGCATTGCTATTTTACTTCAGAACTATATGGAATGTTGAAGAAATCATTTTTAGTCATACTGATCCCATACATTCTATTATTTTTCCATATATTGATCACCATGCTGAAAAAATTTTACACTTAGGTTCAAAAACAGAAATTTGTGCACAATAATGCAGAAATTTCAAAGATTATTAATTCAAAAAATATAGTTTGCTGTGGTATTCCTCTGCCCATGTTTATCATTAAATCAACCCAGCAATGTTGTCACATTCATAGTTCTTTTCCTATCAATACATGTTTAATACGTCACTTAAAATTTTTTCATTTTATTAGACATGAAGCTAAGACACTAGCCTGACTACAAGACCTCTAGTTCTTGGGTGATTTTTTGATCCGTTCTGTGAATAAGCAATTTTTCTTATATAACTATAGATATACTATGTGGTTCTGAAGTAAAACATAGATATAAGGGTAAAAAAACAAAACCTCAAGGGTAAAAAGTATTTAATTTAAACTGGAATAAGATCTAAGCTTCACTTTTTAAGAACTATTCACAAGAAGGCATCTGGCTTAGTCAGTGGAGTATGCAGCTTGATCTCAGGGTTGTGGGTCTGAGCCTGACAATGGGTGTAGAGATTACTTAAAAATGAAAAGAATCTTTAAAAAGTTTTTAAATAAATAAATAAAAATAAAAACTATTCAAAAATATAAATATTTATTTTCTTTTCACTACCTCTCCCAAATTAGGACAACTTCAGAGAGATATATGAAGCAAATAACGAAAACAAGAAAGTCTCCTAAATGGGATAATGTCTCCTAACTGGGACAAAAACAATGGAAAAGGACCCTTAAATCACCTCCCAGAACAAGAAGCCCATACCTCTGGAAGAAAGCATTCTCTGCAGTAGTCAGAAGGCCCTTCAGGTATCCTCCTTTGAAATGGTTAATTCTGCTGCTGCAAGGGAGCTTCTTTGGTTTGAAGCAGAACCAGGGTTCTCCAGTGTAGAGATCTGTAAAGTTACACAAGGGCAGACTCCCAGGAAGACACACATTGCACTCCGTGGTTTCAGAAATTCTTCCTGAACGAAAGAGACTCTTGAAATAGACCCTGTGTGGCTTCTCTTCCTGTAGGTGCTGAAGAACTCTGATCCCTTCAGTCGGGTGGACCAGAGATATGGACACTTTAACTTTGCCTGGCCAGAGCAAAGTAAAAAAGACCTTGTAAAACCCATTCTGGTAGTCTACCACTCTGCCCACAGCCCCTGCCTGCAGCTTAGGGGAGTGGATTCTGGCCTGCAGGTAGTCTCCACCATATTTCTTGGGCTTTCTTTGAAAATCCTGTACATGAACCAGCACTTCTAGTTGGCTTCCCACCTTGAAGAAGGCTGCAGAGTTCAAGATAACAAAGTAGCTGGAAGAAGGGTCAGTGCTCTTTAAAAAGGGGACTGGACCCACATCAGGCACCTGCCACTGTAAGGCAGCCAGCAAGGAGTCCTCCTCCATGCGCTCCCGACTGGACAGAGTCTGATGCTCGTAGCCACAGTAAGGATTCCGGCTAATTCCTGTCATCTGGGAGGAAACAAACTGTCCGCTACTATCGATGAATGTGGCTGCAACAGTCTCATGGTCCAAGTACTGAAGAGAAAAACACAAAAACAGAAACCACAGCTACAATAAATGTCCTTCTATCAGCCAAATATATCTCTGCTATAGCTTAATTCTAATAAAACTACTTGGAATGATATTGTTTCAAAAACCAAAGCTCACTAGTTTTACAGGGCTATCTTACTGTAACACAGAGAAATCAATATGAAAAATAACACAGAGAGATCTCCAACCTTCTGTGAATTTTACCTCCAGGAGCTCAATCAGGTTCCCAAAATCAGTATCAGAAGAAAAAAAAAACAAAACAAAACAAAAAAAAAAAACAAAAAAAAAAAAAAAAGAAAGAAAAGAAAAGAAAAAGAAAAAAGAAGAAAAAAACCTTCAAAGCTTCCAGCAGAGTAAGAAGAAAAAGAACCATCTGGAAATATAACAAAGCATTCTATTCTTCTTAACAAGGCCTGATTTCAAGAGAAACTATTTTACCAGAGCCTAACCTATTGGGATTTTATCAGAACTGAACCAAACTGGGGTAAGAGGCATACCCAGCTCCAGCCCATTCTAATCATCTCTCCAACTTAAGGAGTATGGGGAGAGGACTGAAAAGCAATTCTGAAGTTCACAGCCCAGTAGCAAAAGCTCACTAAAGGACTGAGACTTACTCATGGGACTATAAAACGCTTCACCTCACCACCTTACAACTAATCAGTTCCTTTTACCCAGTACATAACATTCAGCTTTCAAAAAAAGAAAACTGGGATCCCTGGGTGGCACAGCAGTTTGGCGCCTGCCTTTGGCCCAGGGCGCGATCCTGGAGACCCGGGATCGAATCCTACATCGGGCTCCCGGTGCATGGAGCCTGCTTCTCCCTCTGCCTGTGTCTCTGCCTCTCTCTCTCTCTCTCTCTCTCTCTCTCTCTGTGACTATCATGAATAAAAAAAAATCAAAAAAAGAAAACTACAAGACTACTAATAGGCAAAAAACATAGTTTGAAAGTACAAATCAAACATCAGAACTAGAATTAGGTATGGCAGGGTTGTTGGAACAATCAGACCAGTAATTTAAAGCAACTATGATTAACATGCTAAGGCCCCTAATAGAAAAAGCAGACAACATGAAAGAACAGATGGGCACTGTAAGGGGAGAGATGGAAATTCAAAGAAAGTATGAAAAAAAAATGCCAAGAATAGAGAACCTAGAAATGGACTCTCAACTCTATGGTCAACTAATCCTTGAAAAAGCAGGAAAGAATATATCCAAAGAAAAAAAGATGGTCTCTTCAACAGATGGTATTGAGAAAACTGGACAGCCATTTGCAGAAGAATGAAACTGGACCATTTTCTTACACCATACACAAAAATAAACTCAAAATGGATAAAAGACCTAAATGTGAGACAGGAATCCATCAAAATCCTACAGAAGAACACAGGTAGCAACCTCTTTGACCTCATCCAGAGCAACTTCCTGCTAGACACCTCTTCAAAGACAAGGGAAATAAAACCAAAAATGAACTACTGGGACTTCATTAAGGTAACAGGCTTTTGCAAAGCAAAGGAAATAGTCAACAAAACCAAAAGATAACTTACTGAATGGGAGAAGATATCTGCAAATGTCTTATCAGATAAAGGTCTAGTACCCAAAATCTAGAGTGCCAAACTCGGGGCACCTGGGTGGCTCAGTCGGTTAAGTGTCTGCCTTCGGCTCAGGTCATGATCTCAGAGTCCTAGGACAGAGCCCTGATTTAGGATCCCCACTCACTGGGAAGTCTGCTTCTCCCTCTGGCCCTCTCCCTGCTCATGCTCACACACGCTCTCTCTCTTTCCCTCAAATAAATAAATAAAATCTTTAAAAAGATAAAAATAAAAAAAGAACTTATCAAACTCAACACCCCAAAAACAAATAATCTTTAGGTCAAAAAATGGTAGACGACAAGAACAGACATTTCTCCACAGAAGACATACAAATGGCCAAAAGACACATGAAAAAATGCTCAACATTACTCAGCATGAGGGAAATACAAATCAAAACCACAATGAGATATCACCTCACACCAGTCAGAATGGGTAAAATTATCAAGTTAGGAAACAACAGATGTTGGAGAGGATGCAGAGAAAGGGGAACCCTCTTTCTTACACTGCTTGTGGGAATGCAAGCTGGTGCAGCCACTCTGGAAAACAATATGGAGGTTCCTCAAGAAGTTAAAAATAGAGCTACCATGACCCAGCAACTGCACTACCAGGTATTTATCCAAAGGATCCGACACAGAGATCTGAAGGGGAAGGAAAAAAAAAAAAAGAGGGAGGCAAATCATAAGAGACCCTTAACTATGGAGAACAAACTGAGGCTTGATGGAGGGGAGGTTGGCAGGGGGAGGGGATAAACAGGTGATGGGTATTAAGGTGGGCACTTGTAATGAGCACTGGGTGTTATATGCAACTGATGAAACATTAAACTCTACCTGTGAAACTAATAATACACCGTATATTTATTGAATTTAAGTTAAATTAAATCTTAAAAGCCTGAAAGAAAGAAAGAAAGAAAGAAAGAAAGAAAGAAAGAAAGAAAGAAAGAAAGAAAAGAAAAGAAAGGAAAAAGAAAGAAAGAAAGATGCCAGACAAAGCAGAGAGGATTTTTAGGGCTGGGAAATGGGAAATCTCCATAATCTTCCCATAGTGTAAACTCTGACAGTTGTTTTGGTAAATTAAAGTGCCTGACCTCAATTTTGATTGCCAAGGCATGAATTTTCAAAGAGGTATCCACTTAAAAGACTGCTATCTCGGAAAAACACAATGCCAGCCACAAGACTAGATAAAGGGCCAGGCCACTACCTGCCTCAATAAGCTCCTTTGCTTTAGAGATCTTGGTAGATTTAGATAAATGACCATTTCCTGTGCTTTAAATTTCCACTCTTATGTTTTAAATTCACTAATAAAAACTGAACCTGTGAAACCCCAGGCCCCTATTCTTAGATTCCCCCCTTAGTAACCCTAGACCTGTACTCTTTCTTTCACTATCCATGATCTCACTGTGTGGCCTCCAGTGTGCTGTATACCCTCCAGTACCCATGAATAATAAAACTTGTTATTTTTTTTCAAAGATCCTTGCTTGCAGTTATAGTAAGAACCACAAGAACCAGTCCAGCAACAACAGTGGTGATCAAGAGGCTGAGACCAGCGCAAAACATTTCCTGTCAATTTTGCTTTAAGCCTACAAGAGACTCATTTTAGACCTAAAGACACCTGCGGATTGAAAGTAAGGGAGTAGAGAAACATTTATCATGCAAATAGGTCCGAATAGCAAAACTTATATTGGACAAATTAAACTCATATTGGACAAATTAGACTTTTTTGTTCTTGTATTGTTTGTTGTCGTCACTATTTTGTAAGAAGGCTCCACACCCAGCATAGAGTTCAATACGGTGCTTGAACTCACGATCTTGAGATCGAGACCTATGCTGAGACCAAGAATCAGACACCAAACCAACTGAGCCACCCAACAGCATCCCTGTTCTTGTATCGTTTTTATCTGCTTTGGTATCAGAGTAGTACTGGCCTCATGGAATGATTTTGAATGTGTTCCCTCTATTCCATTATTTGTAAGATTGTGACAAAGATTGTCATTAATTTTTTTTTTTTAATGTTTGGTAGAATTCACCAATGAAACCATGAGGTCTTGGACTTTTCTGTGCTGGGAGATTTCTGATTCCTAATTCAACTTTCATTCTTGTTATTGGTCTAAGAAGATTTTCTACCTCTTGAATTCAAGATTCATGATTCAATCTTAGTGAACTGTGTGTTTTAGGAATTACCTGGATTTTTTCTTCTAAGTTATCTGAATTTTTAGTATATAATTGTTTATAGTAATCTGTTATCACATGATGTATTTCTGTGCTTCTCTGTTGTGTTGTTTTCTCTTCAATTTCTCCTTTTGGTTTTTGAGTCTTTTTTTTTTCTTTTTAAAGATTTTATTTATTTATTTATTTGAAGGAAAGAAACAAAGACAGAGAGAGCACAAGCACAGAGAGACGCAGACAGAGAGGGAGAAGTAGACTCCCTGCTGAGCTGGGAGCCCAATGTGGGGCTTGATCCCAGGACCTGAAGATCATGACCTGAGCCAAAGGCAGACAGTTACCATCTGAGCCACCCAAGTGCCCCTTCTTTTTTTTCTTACTGTAAACTATTGCTAATTAAAAAAAAAAATTGGTCATTACTTTTAATGTAAAGTAATTATTTATTCTGGTCTCTATTTGTTTCTGATTTTTCTTTGTTATTGCCTTCTCTACTAAATTTCAGCTAAGTTTCTTCTTTTTCTAGTTCCTTGTGGTGTAAAGTTGCTTATTTCAACTTTTTTTCTTAATACAAGCACTCATAACATAAATTTCACTCTAACATCTGCTTTTTTTTTAATATTTTATTCATTTATTCATGAGAGACACAGAGAGAGAGCAAGGCAGAGACACAGGCAGAGGGAGAAGCAGGCTCCATGCAGGGAGCCCGATGTGGGACTTGATCCAGGGACTCCAGGATCACGCCCTGTGCCGAAGGCAGACACTAAACCGCTGAGCCACCCGGGCTGCCCCCTAACATCTGCTTTTACTGCATTCTATAGGTTTTGGAATATTATTTTTTCCTTTTTTTTTTGTTTGCGACATATTTTGATTTGCCATTTGCTTTCTTTTTGGGCCAATTGCTTATACAGCAGTGTGCTGCTTAATATTTACATCTTAAACATTTACATAGATTTTCCAGCTTTGTTTTATTCTTGATCTTTAGTTTTGTACCTCTGTGGTTGGAAAATATATTTGGTATGATTTCAGTCTTCCTAATTTTAATATTTGTTATGTCTTTTTTTATGTGATTTAACCAGGGGATTCTTCTGGGTGTACTTGAAGAAAATGTATATTCTATTTTTCTGAGATGCAATGTTCTATATATACCTTTTAGAACCATGTATTCTGAAGTATGCTTCAAGTTCTTGCTGAAAAAAAAAAACATAACTTTAACAGAAGGTACGCATTTAAAATAAAGCATATC